AGAATTTATTATAAAGTTACAAGGATATATTCAAAGCCAAGAACAACAGTTAAATCCAGGCCTCAGGAGTGGTGGCCAGTAACATAAATAAAATATTGCAAGTTTAAGTAAAAAAAAAAAAAGGAGAATTTATAATTAGGATAGAAGGGTACCTTACCAAGTAAAGGTAAGGATTATAACTATGCCACAAAAAGGACTGGAACAAGAGAATGGATCACTGTTAAAAAACAAAGGATCCACCACAACAAGATAAAGGTAAATAACCCAGCTGAAAAATGGGCACAGGATATAAACAAACACTTCACCAAAGACTACATTCAGATGACACACAAACACAGGAAGAAATGTTCAAAATCCCTAGCTCTAAGAGAGATGCAAATCAAAACAACTATGAGCTATCATCTGTCCCCAGTAAGAATAGCAAAATGTAACAGAACAGAAAACATCAAATGCTGGCGAGGTTGTGGAGAAACGGGAAGCCTTATTCACTGTTGGTGGGAGTGTAAAATGGTGCAACCACTATGGAAGGGTGTATGGCGCTTTCTCAAAAATGTGCAAATAAAAATACCATTTGACCCAGCAATTCCACTACTGGGAATTTACTCTAAAGAAATCATTACTGCCACCCAAGAAGATATATGCACACCCATGTTTATCACGGCTTTGTTTGCAAAGCAAAGAGCTGAAAACCCAAGAATGGATAGAGAAGCTCTGGTATATTCACACAAACAATGGGATACTATACTGCATTGAAAAACAAGGAACTCATGAGATATTATGCAAAATGGATTACCCTGGAGGACATTATGCTGAGTGAAATATCTTAGTCACAAAAGGACAAATATTACATAGTGCCACTGTTGTAAAACGGGACTGACATGGGCGTTGAAGGATGACAGGAGCGGAGGAATGATGTATATACTGCTTTAAACAGATGAGGGAGAGAACTGTTTAAAAGGGATATATGATTTGGTATTATTGTCATGACACGAGTCCAGAATGAAAGCTGCACGGTGGAGTGGACTTGGGGGGAGGGACTGCATAACAATAAAATAATTTTTCTTTTACTTTTCAAGGAGAAGAGTGAATTGGGGTGGAGGGGGTGGGCAGGGAGAACAATGCAACAATGAATGACTGTAATCCCTAAGTTTCTGTAAACTTTATTAAAATTAATAATTTAAAAAAGAAGGAAAAAGAAAGATACAAGGAATCACACTCTCCTGATCTCTCATACCTTGCTTTTAATTTTGTAAATGCTTCATAAGACTCTTGCTGCAGATTTACTGTTTTTCTTTCCAAGTCAAAAGATGGGTCATAGTTGCACATAGTTTCTCCATTTATATTCATTGTATTCATTGTATTCCAGAGACTAGTCAGGAAATGCTAAAATCTCTTCTCTCCAATTTCAAATTCCTCAGGAGTTTTAAAGAACCTTATAAAAAAATCAGAGGAAACAGGCAACAAGGCAGAATCTTTGGGATACACAATTAAGACCGAAGTTGCAGGACATCAAGAAGTTTTTTAAAATGTTTGGTTTTACTGCTTCTTAGAGATCATAATCTAGAATAGCTTACACAGACATAAGAGTGAGTGTAAAGGTGAATGCACTCAACCAATAGTCATGTACAGAAATTACTAAGTAAACATTTCCAAAAGGAGAATTTTTCGAATCTCTTTTAATATCATCCAGAAATGATGGGCCTGCATAAATTCTATCTCTTTATTTGAGACTTATTCCCTTTCATGTAGGAGTGCCTGGTTGATACATACAATCCACTAGTAAGGGAACGATTCTATATTTAAATTCACCCAGAGGAACTTTCCAAGAGAGTCTGGGGATCTCTTTCTGAAAAGTTACAGTCTTAAAGATCATATAAAATATATTTTTACTGTGCTACACGGGGGTCACCTTGAGTTGGAATTGATCTGACACCAACTGGCTTGGCTTGGGGTTTTTGTTTGTTTGTTTGTTTTGATTTGCTATGATGTTATTGTTTGAGTTGACCACAACTTATAGCAAGTCTATGAATAATATGTATCTGACTTTCAACCTATTCTGTATCATTCGTATCATCTCTGAGATACTTGAGCCATTGTTACAGTCACCACTGTGCCAATCCATCTCTTTCTCTGACCTTCCACCTTTCCTAGCATGATGCCCTTTTCCAAGGAATAGCCTCTCATAATATTATGCCCAAAGGATATGAGACTAAGCCTTGCCATCTTTGTTTCCAAGGAGCACTCTGGGTTGCACTTTCTCTAAGACATCTGTTTGTTCTTTTGGCAGTCCAAGCGATATTCAGTACTCTTCTCCAACACAACTCAAAGGCATCAATTCTTCTTCTGTCATCCTTATTCATTGTCCAGCTCTCAGATGCACATCGGGTGACTGGTAAGACCATGGCTTAAATCTGTTGCACCTTAGTTTTTAATGTGACATCATTGCTCTTCAGGACTTCGGAGTGGTCTCTGACAGCAGCATTTCCCTATGTTATATGTCTCCAGATTTCCTAACTGATGGAACCAAGGGTGTTGATTGTGGATCCAAGGAAGATGAAATAGTTGACAATTTCAATCTTTTTTCCATCTATCATGATGTTGCCTATTCAACGTGTAGTGAGGATTTCTGCTTTCTTTATGTTGAGATGTAATCCATCTTGAAGGCTGCAGTCTTTGATCCTCTGTAGCAAGTGCCTCAGGTCCCTCTTACTTTCAGTAAGCAAGGTTGGGTCATTTGCTTAATACAGGTTGTTGATAAGTTTTCCTCCAATCTTGATTTCTCACTCTTCTTTATAAAGTCCAGCTTCTCTAATGATTTGCTTAATGATTGACTAGGTATGGTAAAAGGATACACCCCTGAAGCACATCTTTCTCATTTTTAAACCATGCAGTGATCCTTTCATCTGTTTGGACAATAGTTTCTTGATCTAGGTATAGGTTTTGCATGAGCACAATCAAGTCTTCTGGAATTCCCATTCTTCTCAATGCTACTTTAACTATGATAATAAGTAAAGTTTATTTCTTGCTAAGATATGAAAAAGTCTTGGTGTGAGTAATTGAAACACAAAATATTATATTTTTTTTAATTAAGAGGGTGTTAAAAAAGCTTTCAGACTGCAAATAGAAATTTGATCAATAATCTCTAAGACTGGAGAGAAACTTGGATTAATCTACTTTGAGTCATGTGCCTATAAGATAAACAGAGCTGTTCTCACTCTCATCATAGGAGGCTGGAAGCAGGGGAATGATCCTGAGAAAGAGAGTGAAAATATAATTATTTTGGGGATTCTTCACAGGCACATATGAGAACAAAATAATATTGCTTACCAAAATATGACATAAGATTTGAATGAGAGGTTATTTATAGATCTAAAATTCAGAAAAGCTGATGTTGCACCATTTTACACTTCCACCAACAGTGAATAAGTGTTCCGGTTTCTCCACAACCTTACCAGCATTTGTTGTTTGCTGTTCTGTTAAATTTTGCTATTCTGACTTGGGTGAGATGATAGCTCATTGTTGTTTTGATTTGCATCTCTCTTAGAGCCAGGGATTTTGAACATTTCTTCATGTGTTTGTTTGCCACATGAATGCCTTCTTTGGTGAAGTGTCTGTTCATATTCTGGGCCCATTTTTCAACTGGGTTGTTTACCTTTATCTTTTGGTAGTGCTCGAGTATTTTATAAATTCTTGATATAAGTCCCTTTTCTGACATGTCATGAATATATCCTAAAGAAACCATAACTGCTACCCAAGCAGATATATGCACACCCATGTTTACTGCGGCTTTGTTTACAATAGCAAAGAGTTGGAAACAACCCAAGAGCCCAT